GCCCTCTGACCAGCCTGAGCCGCATGCTCCAGCCTCACCTCTGGCTCCCATCCTTCCACCTCACTGGTCCACACGTCCCTTTTCTACCTGTGGTGCCCCCTCCGCCCTGGCCTTCCCTCCAACACGGATGCTACCTAAGCGTGAAGACCACAGTGAAACATCTCCGTCTCCAGGAGGAACGAACACCTGTAATGCTCTCGCGTGTATTAGCCGAACAGCTGTTGAGGTAAGACCTGTCACGTCTATTCCAGATTTAGAGACCGAAGCATGAGTTCAGCACCATGGATAGCAAATGGCAGCTGGTTGGGTGGGGGGATCCTGACTGGGTTCCCGAGCCAGGACTGGGTTCCCGAGCCGTGCTTTGAACTACTGTGCCGTCTGACACTACAGGATGCTCTAGAAGTGTCTGTGAATTGCACATCTTTCTGCCCTGCCCTCAGGGGACACAAGGCCATCTGACTGGCCCTCAGAGGCCTGTGTCTTCTCCCTGTTTCTCGGTCAATTCCCCAGGCCGGGGCCCTCAGCACACAGTGGCCCTCAGGCAGGAAAGGAGAGTCCTTGCCCGGAGACCACAGTCCCCACATGTTCCTGATGTCCACCACCACCGCCATCACCACCGTGGCCACCACAGCCACTGTGGTCTTTTCTTGATTCCCCTGAACACTCACCTCCCATAGCACCCAGAACTGCCCCCAGCCTTGGCAGGGTGAGCACTGAGGACCCCTCCAGTGGGCTGAAGGACCCACGCCTGAGCTGCAGAGACATCCAGGGCCTCGGAGAAGCCCTTATTTCTCTCTCTTCAAAGGGACCAAACCCATACATCTAACGCAGCTCTGTTTGCCATTTGGGCCCAGCAAACAGGCTTGCTTCCTCCTTTCAAAGGGCGTCTGAGCCCAGGGATTAGACCTAATGCTGCTGGCATCCCGGGGGGCGGCGCCCGGCCACCAGGACCCCCTGAGGCTGCTCTGCCTGTGCTTTCAAAGGGAGCGTGACAGGCTTTCATCTCCTTCCTCTCCCTCCAGAGGCCTCCCCTTCCTCTTCCAGCCCTCTAGCCCCAGGGCAGCATGGCCCTGGGTACAGGAATTGGGGGCCCTCCCTTCTGAGAAACCATCTGACCTCCGGACCTCACCTCTGGCTTGGTCCCAGACTCCTGATGGGGTCTCAAGTCCTTGGAGTTTCCCTCCTAAGGTCACAAGATCACCCTGGCCTAGGTGACTTCCTGAGGAACCCTGATAAGCCAGGTTCCAACTTTATTCTACTTGGGGTGAAAATGAAACCCCTCTAACCCAAGGGAGGCCCCATCTTGTCTCTTTCTAAAGGGAAACACTCTCCAGGCCCCTAACAAACCCAGAGACAGGGCTGCAGTCCTGCTGCTGCTCAGCTGGGGGGCCCTGGGCCCTCCTCTCCCTGCCCCCCAAGCCCTCGCTCTCCCACCTCCCTCTCCCTGTGCACAGCAGAGGGCGGCCCATAGGTCAGCCCTCTCCATGCAGGCCTAGGGCCCCCGGGTATCAGTGAAGACCAGGTCCGTGGGCTCTGTCACGTCCGTGACACGTCCACCCACCCTCCAGCGGT